TATCTATCTATCTATCTATCTATCTATCTATCTATCTATCTATCTATCTATCTATCTATCTATCTATCTATCTATCTATCTATCTATCTATCTAAAAATTGAACATGATGAGTTTAATTAGAGGTTTTTCTGGGTGTGTTACTGGTTACTGCTGCAGGGAGAACACTGACTTATGTGGGCCACTTGGCAGCAGCTGTGGTTTTGGTGAGACTGGGTTACTGAGGTGTGTTTGCGACTAAAAGGGGAGGGCTGGGTGGGTGTCTTTACCCATTTCATGCACTCCAGACTGACAGAATGTGCTGAAATGTATCTCTCCTGCTAGCACAATCTCTGGCATTCGTTCATGCGTGCACAGAGCTGTGCATGTGTTTCGTGTGTGACAGAAACAGGAGAAGACCTTAGAGGCGACTGACTCACACATGCCAGCCGCAGTTGCAGATTTCTGTTATATTTTAAGCTGTTGTAAGACCTGTCGTGCACAGTGAGTGATAGTGTTATACTAGAGAATAAATAAAATTAGGAGCCCAGTAAATCTATTAATGAAACAGTAACTAGAAATTCTTTGCTGAGCGTCTTTCTGTGAACAGCAGTGCAAAAATGCTGTAAGTGAGGGTAACGTGTCAGAACATTTCTACGACCTCTGTGAAACTGTTAAATTTAGTTTTAATAGATCACCATCCAATCAAAGAGGGCTGTTGGAGGGTGAATCAAATCCTAGAGGACCAAGTTAAACTCAGGACAGGCTGTCAGTCAGTCACAGGTTGACATACAGCATATGACATAATGACATCATACAGGACATTTAATGTTGTCAAGTCTTTGGACTTTGTGAGGAACAGAAGCACAGGGCAGTGGCAGAAACTTCATCATGTGACACAGCAGCAAGACAGTGCTGTCTGGCAGTGTCGCTGCAAGGCCCGAGTGTCTGCCAGCAAACAAACAAATGACTAAACAGAGTCCTAAAGTTGCCCTCTGTGCCTCCAGTGACTGTGCATGCAGAAGCCGGTTAATCAATTCAAATAACATGGCCACTTTACTTCTTGAAGGAATTACAGCTCCTCCTCAAAGCACCCAACTTATTTTATGGTCACTTTTTGTTCTCTAACTGAAACATTATTGGGGTGACTTGCCAGGCAACCCTAGTGTTCAATAAAATAATTGCAGACCTGCGCAATAATCACTACAGCAAGCATTTATAGAGTCATAAATCCTCTAATGTAATGGGAAGGACCCTGACGTTGTAACGAGCACGGCAGTCTCAGTTTACAGGCCCCCTTTGCTTCTGGGTGTCAGTGTAGTAACCTGGTGTAAAGATGGACATACTGAAAAGGGTAGGCTGTTTTGTATTTTAAGTACTTTTGTAAAGCTTTTGAGAGCTTTCCCTTGAACTTCAAATTCAAGTGCTGATAGGCACATGAAGACACTTTAATTACCGGTCTGTTCTCAACAAGCCTTCACACATTAAACACCACATTGCTAACATCTGCAAACACAGCATACTTTTCCCGAATTCAGTTTGACTGCAAACATTCAACATTGTCTCCCAAAAATGTCAACCTGGGCTGTCACCCTGATATACAGCATTGTGCAAAAGTCTTGAGGCCCCCCCCCCGCCCTTCTTTCTTTCTCTTTTTCAAACACACTGCCAGAGCAGTAAAAGCATACCAGGATAGAAAAGCACACAATGGAACACTGACAGTCACACTGGGAACACTGACTGGGATCATCTGGACAAACAACAGAACAGAAAGGAGCCAACATCCAAAGAAAAGCTTTCAATGTCCTTCAAGAAGCCCGGAGAACTGTTCCTGAAGAGCACTCAAAGAATTTACAAGCTTGTTGAAGAAATATTGAGTCACACCAAATATTGACTTGCAAGCTTATTAGGATTGTACAAACTTTGTTTTTGCCTTATATACTGTATTTCCACCTATGTTTGCATGTGTTTCAATGACCTAGTAACATAATTCAGTAACTTTTCACAAGAATTAGTTAATTCAACAAAAAAAAACAACCTTTCAGCGTTTCGTGTATTTGAACATTTTCTTATGAAATTATCGATTCTATCGCGCCAGTAACGATACTGCCGATATTCGGCTCGATCCGCCCATCCGCACTCCCCCCTCCCACACGGCTCTCCTCCCCTCCCCTCCTGCTCTCCTGCAGCAGAGAAGCGGCTGCTGATTCACTCCGGGCGGCCGGCGCAGACTCTCTCAGCAGCGTCGCTCTATTTAAATTCACTCATCCGTCGCTGTCGGCATCTTCACGTCGCGTCGGAGAAGTTCGGGTATTTTAGCTCGAGCCAACACGCCGGGTTAAGTGTTTTTAAGTCTCTCACACAGCGTTTTCTCCCCCGGGATGTCTGCAGAGATGCGGCGTAGCAGCATAAACGGGGTAAGTTGGAGAAAAGTGAGTTTCATGGTAGTGTGTGTGTGTGTGAGACTCGTCATTGTTCGCCTCTGCTGCTGGGACTGGGTATTGTTAAAAGTTACCAGTCTCCATTCATTGCTGACTCCAGCGTTTGTTTCACTTATTTCTTTGCGTAGTGACTCGCTTCAAACAGGCTTGGTCACTGTTTTCTGTTTAAACTTCCCTTTATCCTTCTGGGTATTTAACACGTGAGTGTTTTCTCTAAATTACTGCTGTTCAAGCACCACCACCAGCAGGAGGATGGATTGATTGATTACGCCAGGATGTCTCATCACACCACCTGAAAGAAATCACCAATCTGCCGCTTTAGGACTGCTGCAGAGGCGCTCGTAATCGTCTTTAATGTGCTGAAACGTGAGCTGCTGGGCTCATGCGTTTCACTGTTTCTCTATATTTAGCAGGGTTTAATCCCGGTTTATGTAATCTATCGTTAACATGTTAAATACACTGCGGATGGCCATTATTGTGATAGTCAGGGGAGTGATTGAAATCAGTATAGCTGTCCGTCAGACCTACACCCCAGTGTGCCCACCTTAAAGTGCATTTCTCCACCTGCAGTGACACCGCATACCTGCTCAGATTTTCAGACAGCATCTTCATTATAGTAGTTGTCTGGGAATCAAAGAGAGCTGTATCCTTCTGAGCTGTGATGCTATTTCTGTCTTTCTGTTCACCTTTTTTGTTTCCAAGTTATTTTTGTCTTGTTCGGTGTACCTGACAGCACTTGTGCCGTCTGAAAACGCCTCTAAATGTTAAAAAATAAATCTAGTTTATTCAGTTATCCCTTCTCCATCATCAGGTCCCGATCAAGAACATAGAGAGGGAGCTGATCTGCCCAATCTGCAAGGAGCTCTTCACCCATCCGCTGATCCTGCCCTGCCAGCACAGCGTCTGCCACAAATGTGTGAAAGAGCTGCTCATGTTGAACCACGAGGACTCTTTTGATGCCGGTTCTGAGTGCTCCCTACCGGGCAGCCCCAGGTCCAGGGTGCCCTCCCCCTCCATGGAGAGGCTGGACAGGCTTGTGAGATCAGGTGGGTCTCAGGGTAAGGAACCAAAGCTTGTTAACTTATAAGTGAGCTTCACAGGAAGGATTATGGTGTGGGGAGTTGAATCTCATATTTCTGTAGGTTTTGAAAAGCTTGTGTATCGAGGGCATTAGCAGGAACAGTGGGAGCTCTTGCACTGCCTAATGGAAGCTAATAATCAGAACACAAAATGCAATGCTCGACCATTTGTGGTGATTCCTAGGGGAATTGGTAATGCCAACTTCCTGTAACATCTTCCTCCTTGTTCCTTCAACTTCACCTTTTGCTTTTGCTTCTTGTCAAAAGGCTGCATGCAACAGGTGTTGGGATTTTCCTCTACAGAAAGGGAAAGAAGGCTTCTCAAATAAGGAAAAGTATGACACAAATAAAAACCGAAGGCTTGGGTGGGGAAAAAAAAAAAAAGGTAGTGCAACTGAGAAGAGTGCTTCATGAACAAATAAGCAAATCTTTAGCCAATGCAAATTAATGGTTGAGTGTGTGTGAATAGACTCGTGGAAACTGGGAGAGACTCTAAATAGGCCAAGTATTGTGCGACGTTTGGGTGCTAGGGCGCCTCAGACGCCGCTCTCCCCTCTTCTTGTCCTAGATAACGCAGAACTAACTTTGAGAAATGATTTTTAATCATTTTACCCCTCAGCCGTAACACAGTCAGTCATCACTACTTCTGATCCCGTCTGCTTCTGCAGGCCTCATTAGAGAGAAAGAAGAGTAAGTCGACGAGCTTAAGTTTTGTCTTCGAAAAGAAATGTTGACAAGCTCCATCAGGCCCTAATCCTCACTGTCTGCCTTCTATTGGTCCCCGGGGCATCAAACAAATTTGGAAATGTTAAAGTAATGACAAGAAGAGCAGCTATCATTTTCACTACACCTTTAATTGGATATGTGTGTATCGTCTGTGTGTGCATGTTATGTACACACGGGTGAACAAAGGAGATCTGTAAGCTCCTTTTTTTGCGTTTTTATTTAGAGTAATTTTAAACTCTTAAAACCAAGCTGAGCTGGGAGGAGGAAAGCTGGTTGAGATTTGTCCGGGCGCAGGTGGCTAAATTATGTTTATGTTCTCTGCACAGCACGTTGCACTGTTGCAGTCCGGCTCAAGCGGGTCAATGTCTAAGCCTAAAAAAAAAAGCGTCATGGTGGGACACAAGGCCGCCTCTGTGGCTCCTGAGAGCTCTGGGCTTGAGGCCATTTTCTGAAAGATGTTGTCTCATTTGCGCCCTTGACATCACTCGGGCTGTGTCTGACTTAAATGCTACATACCAACTCCAAGCAGGTCGTGGGTTCATGCTGGAATAATGGGATTGGGAAAGAGTGTGTGCATATTTGAAATCTGCAGAGTTTAATCAAGTCTCTCTGTGCAATTCTTACTTTTTCCCCTTCTTAAAAAAAAAAAAAAGGAGACGACAGATACAAAAATCAAGTAAATTGTGACATTGCTGCTGTGATGTTTACCAGAGAGCGTATGCATGCCTTAAAATGCCAAACATCTACATATGTGCCGATGAATCCTTTTTTATTTCAGTGTTTTATGAGTGTGTTGTATTGAACTGGGACACCATTCGAGATGTAGTGTTGAATGTAATGTGTTTAAATCACTGGTATTAAAGGTTTGTGCTTTTTTCCATTTTAAATTGATTTTTCAATTTGTTCTTTAAGATGACGTTTGGGCATAATCAATGGCTGACCCCAAATCAACATGTTGAGTGATTATGCTGTGAAAGTTGATTTAAAATCAAGTTTACAGTGCTTGATTTTTAGACTCTATTTGATTTATTTATTTTTGAACTGATGCAGACTTGTGCATAAAGGTGGGCACTCATTTTCTTACAATTATGGCTATTCAGTAACTCGTGCTGTATGAGACTGAGTAATGTTTAACCAACATCTCGTCTTGGAACACTGTCAAAATCAGAGGGGTAGCACTAACAAAGCCGAAGTTTACTGAGGTGAACTCTTTGCAAGTTATTCAGCGCTGGTTCCAAACCGCTGAGGCAGGGCTCTTGAACAGTCTCCCTGTTCGGCTCAAGTTTGTTCCGTACTGGCAGGACCGCGTCTGTTGATGCAGGAAATAATCAAATCCTGCTTTTTGAGTAAACAAATCTGAGGTCCTGCAAAAATCCAGGTTGTGCACAGAGCCACTGGACTCAGTATGACTACTGCCTCCTTTCAGGTCAATGCACAGCATTAACGTACAGTAAATTCAGTGACATTTGGTTGACATGATATTTAATAAGGCTGTTCATGAGTGCAGATTTCCAGTGAGTGTAAGAAGGAAGCCTTGAAGTACATTATTAACACTAACTCCCAACAGAACAAACTAACTCTCCTAGCGCCTTCACTGCTGGGAGCTCAGCTCATTGGTAGCCATGGTGATGCAACCTGCCTGAGAGGAATGACTGAGGGATTAGATGAAGGGAGCGAAAGAAAAGACTTGAGACTATATTTATCAGTGTGCAGCTTGGACAAGCCTTGCTGTACTGTGACTTGAAAAAGGCGGTTACTAAAACGTGACGTTTCCCAGTTTTGGGGCTATAAACACAGCTAACCTTTAACTGCTAACCCTCAATAAGAGTTGGCTGGCGAAGGCTGCGTTGGCTTTAGTAATCTTGTCACATGTTGAGAAATAAGCAAATTTGTTTTCTTGTCTGTGTTTTAGAAGTGAAATGCTTGATGCAAAACTATAGCCAGGAGATGGTTAGCTTTGCTTACCTGCTTTCTATTAAAGTATGTTTTCCATGCTCTTATTGGAAAATGTAACTGAATTATACATTAGGGCTGTGCGATATGACCAAAATCTCATATCCCGATATAAGACATCTATCGTCCGATAACGATATAAATCACAATATTTTTACATTTTCTGTAAATTCTGTGAATATGGGCAGCT